TGTGGAACGCTGGCGTTTTCTAGATCTTGAAATTGTTCATCGTGAGCCTCCGTTCTCCTATGTGTACGTGCATAGATATGTAAAAATACGATACTTAAACACGGAATTAGCGTTTGTGCGCAGTTGAGCTCAGCGATGAAAGAAGACCTTGTACTCGCCTCATTACATGAGGTTAAATATTGTAACAACCTCTTTAATGGAAACAAAAAAGACTTCTTTTTTTCCTTTCTATTAGGTGCAGACGTTGCTTCAGCAAATGCAGGACAAATTTCAAACCATGTCTGACCAAATAATTGGAAGAAATATCCTTTTTTAAAGTCAGATAGGTGCTACAGATGCACAAGTATTTTAAAGTCTATTTACCAGTGGGATTTGTAAGGTAACTTTAAAGTGACCATAAGAGTTTGACCAAAGCTGTAATAAAAACCAACCAAACAAAAAGCCCCAAGCACGAGTGGATTGCAGTCATATTCCTTAACTCCAGTGAACTTGATGACATGAGCTGTCGCATAGATGACCTGGAGAAGAACATAGCAGACCTCATGACGCAAGCAGGAGTGGAAGAATTGGAAGGCGAGAACAAGACCCCTGCTACTAACAAGAGTTAAAGTGAGACAATTGCTTGCTAGCCTTGAAACAAATCCTCAGGTCGCTTGAATTTACTGACTTTAAAGTAGATGGACCTTTTCCTTTGATTTGTGAGGTAGTCTGAAATTCATGCAGAGCAGCTCTGTACATTGTAATACAAGAAGCTTTAAGCAGCTCTTCTCAGCAGGCTCCTACTAGACTCTTCAAGGATGTTTTCCTCACCAATATTGGGAGGAGAGTTATTTTCTTCATGTCTGGTTAGTTTTGAGGAAGTGCAATAGCTGTAGTCATCCTCTGTTACACACTCACTGTGGTACTCTTGGTAAGATCTGAAATAACAGCTGTCTTTGCAGCACAGGGAGGTGAAGAGATGGGAAGAAATACCAGTAGCAAAGCAAGCTGTTCTCTTCTCTCATCACATTTGAGCCTTCTGAAAAGGACCATGATCCCATGCATGTTACCAGCATCCCCTCCGATTTCCCTAGCTAGAAAGCTAGTGGGAGCGTGGTGCTACTCTTCTGTCTTCCGCTGCATCCTGTAGACTTCAGCACCCACTAAGCTCCTAGAGGCTGTAGACTGTCTGCTGGGCACAGGGGCCAACGAGTGAGTTCCTGTCAATCAGCTGTAAATCCCTCCTGTGTAAGTTAGGAGCTTGCTGGGAGTAGAGGACTCGCACGTACCACTGCAGGGCAGCAGGTCCTGACTCGGGCAGTGCAAGACAACACTCGGACGTGAGGCAAGGCGTGTTCTAGGGCAATGCTCCCTGGGAAAAAGATAAATGTGATGATATATATTCTTCTTATGTAATTTCTTAATTGATAACCTGCCCCTATATTACACAAAACATTGGAGAAGTAGCTGTTTCATCTACTTGGCAAGCAGCAGTTCAAAATCTAGTACAAAAACATGTAAATAAATCCAGGTGATCAGGTAGCACCACACACAGCATTTACAACAATTGCTACAGGCATTTCAGAAGATGGGGGCAATGCAAGACTGCCAAAACTGTTACAGCATAAAGGGGGGTACGTGGTGCTTAATTATAATATATGAGCACTAAGATTTCACTTCAGTTTGTATAGAATTTTATTTTTGTAATCCATGGAAGGCAACTGCTAAATAAACTACTAGCTGCATGTTCTTAGATTAACTTTTTTTTTTTTTTTTTAAGGTGGCTAAGTAAGACAAGTCTCAGCCTCTCTTAGGCTTGAAATTCTGAGGTTGCATCTAGAATACTGTGCAGCCTGTATAATAGGCATGTGTGTTTGAAACGGGTATATGTCTTGGTTGTTAACGGTACCTATCTTTTGTGATATTTAACAGAAATACAAATTACTACACTGGCTTTGTTGCCCCCAGTGCCAGTTCCCTTAGCCTGAACCCCACAAATGAAGATTTCTGATAAGCGTGATTCTCTTAATTCTTCTCAGTAATATTTTTTTTTAAATTATTTTTTCCCAACAGGTTGCCAGTAACTTAAGATGAATCCTGGAAGACTTCTTTGGTTTTTTTCTACAAATCCTTGGAATTACAGAACAGCTTTTTGCAACTACTGTGTGTAAAAGCATTTTTATATTGTTACAGAGCTTGCATTCCTAATGTATATTGTATAGTTAGGGATAGGTTAGTTTCTATTTTGATTTGTGTACTGTAATTTCACTTTTTGAATTCTTGTTATGAGGATCAATTAGTTGTGTTATTAAAACACAGATCTTGCAGATCTCAACTATTGGGTGTATTTTTTTGTGAAGTCACTTTTTTCTCTTTCCTATACTTTTTTTAGACATTTCATTTTTAATAGCTAAACATCTAGTGACTCCCATCAAATGGAAATCTTAACTTGTCCTACATAACTTTGTGGAGTGAAGCATAAGACTGAAACTTAGCATTAATCTTAGCTCTACGCATCAGTCACTCGACTAGTTGAGGACTATGTGTTGTTTTCTCATAAATGTAATAAGGTGATTTTGGAAACATAAGACACTGGACATCAAAGTTGTATCTCCTTACCTGCGTGTTCCTAGAATGTAAACCAGAAATAGAGATTTAACGTTAGCGACGTCTGTTGTTGAGCAACCACTGCCATACAAATCTGTTATATTTAGACAGACAAGGAACTATTAACTATCTCACTATCTCATAGAAAAATCTCACTATGGGATTTAAGTTTTTTAACACTGTAAAATGCTACTTTGAAACTGACAGTGTGTCATTTAGCATCACCTTTGAACAATAATTGTGATTAAAATAGAATAGGGATGGGATTGTGGATGTGCCTGTATGTGGCCTTTCAGTTTAAATCGCTGGCTCCTTGTAGAAAACAGTTTGCTAACAAAGCAAGGAGATACTGAGTAGCAAAAAAGGAGAGAACCCAGTTAGAATTGTAAAGCCTTGCTTCTCTTTGAAAAACAACTAGCTGGTTAAATACTTGGTGTAGAAAGGTGTTTGCTTTTATAATCATATCCATGTTTACAGGCCTGGAGTTTAATGGATTACGTTAGAGTATTTTGGCAATGAAAAGTGTATTTAGAAGAGTCTGTACTATGTCACTCGTGAAGAAAAATGACCAAGGTCATTTACTGACATTACTGACAATCATTGCAATGCTCCTCCAGCTTGAAAGGTAAATTTAAGAAAGGACTGGTGGCAGTCAGCAGTTCTGTGTGGAGCACACTTCAGACTGCTCTTTGAATGCCACCGGATTAGCGCCTGTGCATTATGAAGGCACTGTGACAGGTCATTTTTCGAAACGGGGGAAACTGTGATAAAAGCTCATAATAATAGGGGAATTCTGTGAACATAGGAAATGGATCAATATACCTTGTAATACCAGCCTTAGGCTCTTTGTAATGTTATTTAAAAATCTAATAAACGATTATGTGGTAACAAATAGTCAGGTCATATATATTAGTGCAAAATCTAGCATAAGTATATCATTACATGTGAGATTGTATTTAGTTACAAGTTATAGAAAGACTTTAGCACAGCCACTGCTGATAGAAGATAGTCTAGAATATAGGTGTGTTCTGTAAACGGTGAGCACCATTCATGCCCTGTCAAATCCCAATTTTACTAGGTAATGACAGTATAGACCAAGTCCGTAGGAAAGTATATTAAAGTGGAGGATCATTTTATATGATGTTTATACAACGATGAATTCTCATCTGGCTGCCTTCCTTCTGTGGGAGAAATGGTCATTCTTGAATTTCCTTGCGCTATCCTATACACAGCAGTAGTAGGCCTGCTTTCCTGAAGTTTATTATGTCAGAATAACTTACTGGAAAATTTTGGCTTTAAGAAGAAGCTGGATTCTTCAAGTCATTGGGAAGATTCTAAACGCTTTTCAGTAGGGATAGTTTTCCCTCATAAATTTAACACTTAACTGATTTTGAAAACTAACAGCTCAATTCAAAACAAGCCTTTCAGACAGGAAGGTATTACTTGTAGCTCTTCAAATACTGCATAGTTTAGGGAAACATGTTTTATTCTCACTCAGAACCCGTGATAGAGCTTCTACGTATAAACAGCACGTGCAAGCCAAAGTCGAATCCCTTTGGGCACAGTTTCCTAAAGCGCACTTAGTTTAATACACAAAGCAAGGCAGAAGACAGTCGTTCTTAAGGGTTACTTTGTATGGTTTTGATAACGCTTTACAAAATAATAGTGTCCTCGGGTTTTTTATCAATATGCTGATTCACATCTTACCTGAGCAAGTATTTGTCCTTTCCACTGGGCTGTCTCACTTGCAAAGAAACAAAAAAAAGTCTGAGGATCAAGCTTTTCAATAGGGACTGTCTTCCTTATTAGGATATGAAGAACGCTCTTCTCCCAAGTAGCTAGCGATAGGATGAGAGGAAACAGGCTCAAGCTGCGCCAGGGGAGGTTTAGATTGGATATTAGGAAAAATTTTTTCACGGAAAGGGTAGTCAAGCATTGGAACAGGCTGCCCAGAGAGGTGGTGGAGTCACCATCCCTGGAGGTGTTCAAAAAACAGGCAGATGTGGCACTTTGGGGCATGATGGTTTAGTGGGCATGGTGGTGTTGGGTTGATGGTTGGACTGATGATCTTAGAGACCCTTTCCAACCTTAATGATTCCTAGTTTTTACTTTCATTATAAATAATCCAGCCACCAAGCCAGGAAACATGAAATTGCTACTCTACCCTTAATTGGTTTAGTGGTGGACTTACTTGGTAGTGTAGGTTAATGGTTGGACTTGATGATCTTAAAGGTCTTTTCCAACCTAAACGATTCTATGATTCTATATATTCATTTATATCAAACTATGTGGTGCTGTGTTTTGTTTGGGGACTGCAGCTTGCATTTTTTAGTTAGTTATCTCTATGCCAAAGCCTAGATAAGCACATTCTACTTCAAGAGAAATTTTCTGCTACATGCTGTCGTGGTGCCATACGCTTGGATGTTTATCATTGACGTGTTTACCTCCTGCAGTTTATTTTCACAAACAGTTACAGATTAAATGCACCCTGCTCTGATGGCCTCGTACAAGCAGGCATGGTGGATGCTGCGTTTTGCAGTTTGCAGTTCGAAGCTGGTGTGACTTGGCGCAGCCCCGCTGTAATTCATAGGTGCTGCAGACCCGTGCTGCGGTGGCAGAATGCTCCGCTCCACCTGGCTGAGCGAGCACAGGGATCTGCCTGCTCCCTGCCTACCGGCAAGAGGGGCAAGGGTTTCTGGTGTGATCCGTGCCACCTGGGAGGAGGTGGGATGGATGGAAAAATGCACTTGCTCGAACATGCCGCTCCCTGCGTTCTTCCCCGTCCTAGCCCAAGCTGCAAGGGGATAGCAAAGCTACTTTTTGTCAGTGAGCGTGAGGTACAGAATTACAGGGAACAAGTGGAGGCGATGGGTCCTGCAAGCTGAAGATCACAGGAGCTGTGTGGCCAACGTATTACACCGGGCAAGAGAAATAAATTTGAAACTCCTGTCTCGTCTGGTCTGCTGTCTTAATGATGATACTTTCTCAGTACAGAGGAACAGCACTGTAATAAATCCATGTTTTGAAACACTTAGGCCCACTGATAAGTGATCCAGAATTATAGTTTCCTTAAGAGGATTTTTCATTTAATCTCTGCCCTAAAGACAACGTACGGTAAATAAGACCGCACACAGATAGCTCTCGAACTAATGCCATCTGGTCCGTGCACTAAATGAAGCTGGTTATAGGCCAGAGATGTGCAGAACTACAACACGTGCTGTTGGCAAGAGCTAGTTTCGAAGCCCTCCTTTCCCTGAGTGGAACCCAGGTCTCCCACCTGCGTTGCTGCCTGCTTTGGGACGGAGCTCATGAGAAATTACTTGGGCTTCATCTTGCAATTCTCACAATCTAAGGTTGGCAGCGGAGACAGGGAACGTTTGTGCAAATTCATGCTATCGGGCCTCTAGACTCACTATCTCAACAGTCCCAATAAGGTACCATTGGTTCCTTTCCTTAGATGAATGAGGCGCAGGGAGCTGGTTTGCCCAAGATTGCTATGGAAATCAGTAAGAAAGAAACCCAACCCGCCTGTCTTCCAAACCCTGGGGGAGTGCTGAAGGTGCTCGCTTGGTCTTCCTCCAAACTCAAAAGCCCATGAAAATCATTACTTCCTATTGTATTACTTCGTATTATAAACACATTTGACGCTGTGCCTTCAGAAAGAAAATAATTTTGATTCTGTACAGTTTTGCTGTGAAACACCTGTAACCACAGCCACAGACACTGTCCATCCTCTCTAAAATTACATCGATCTGCAGTTTTTCTGGAGGTATTCACATGGAATTATTTAATGAAACTTTTTCCTTCCCCTCAAGATTATAAGTCTCTAGCAGATACTGCCTTCTAGTGGGCACACTCTCACTAATAGAAGGAACGCTGCTCAGATTAATTATTTGCTTACCTTTAATGTACAAGTTTGGATACTAGGACTTTAATGAGCCACATGTGGTTTTGAAATGTGGTTATTACACAAGATACTGAGGCTTTGTTTACAATAAAGAATGTTAATAGGATACACAAATCCCTTTCTGAGCTTTAAGCCTTATCGTGTTTTGAAAAGACCTGATGCTTGCTGAGAATTTTTTTTTTCTGACTCTGATGTAGAGTTAATGAAATTAGGTCATTAGGAAAATAAAGCATGGGAATAGAGACTTTACGTCATATGAGCACTCCGAGATATGAACAATTAAACAGGTACTGTCTCTCTGAAAAATGCACACGTGTTAATAGAAAGTATTCTTTTATGTCATTTTGCTACAGACCTGACATTTCTATTTATGAAGCTCTTGTAGTTAGATACATACGTAAAAATGTCTTCAGTTCACAAAGCTGTAGAATACACAGTCCTTGCTCAGGAGATTAAATCCTGTTCAAAATAGCAACCGGAGAAGGGATGGAGTTTAGTGTTTCCCACATAGGCGTTAATACGACAAGTCTGGATGGAAAGCCCGTGGCCCTTTTGTGCAAGCCCCCGTACAGGTATGGCAAATACAGCAAAATAATCTATGCTTCTAAGGGCAAATGGAGGAAACGGGCAAGGAGCTACCTGAAAAGTGGAGGCAAAAGAGGTGAGACAAATTTCTTAAGGCTTCACAGCAAATCAGTGGCTGAGCCAGGCCTTAGATTTAAATCCTTCTTAAGCGACCTGCAAAAAGCACTTGAGACAGACTATGCAGCGCTTGCCTGTCTCCCAGAACAGGTAGGCTGGCAGGCGTACTTGCAAAATAA